ATTTTACGTTGTTACAGCAGACCAAAGAAATTTTGTCAAGGATTGTTGCCAGGTATTTTTTTATAAAGATTGTAGATGTTGAACAAATGAAGAAATTGACGAAGCTCTTCTCCGTTGGTGTGTATTCTAAGAAGAATCGGTACGAAAAGGTGCAGATCTCGTCATGGTTCAATCACAGTCGGGGGGCCAAACATTTTCCCCCTCTTTTTTGAGAGACGCCACAGGACGTCCCGTGGGGTGCTACGCCTCCACGCTTTCACGGCTAACAGGGAGCTCCTTTCAGCAGTTTTGACTTTTCAATTAGCCACAGGTTCGCCTTCACCCAAATATTGTGCCTAATGTCCCTTCGTCACGCACCTCCCCGTGAATTTTCAAAAAAGCCCCGCCCGAGTCGGACGAGTTTCAACGCCTCGGAATCGATCACGCTCTTTTGCGCAGATTCGTAACGTCTTCAGAAATCTTGACAAGTTAGACGGAATTCAGAGAAACATCAAATTCTTTATCAGTGAGGCGATTTTTTCAATATTTCAAGTCTTTTTAAATTTGTCGAAAAATTGCAGAAACTTGGAAATTGGAATCTTTCCCAAAGTTCACGAATTTTTTAAATACAACTCTCTTGAGTTTTTCATAGAAAAATAGTATTTCTCCAAGTGAAATGACATCCAACCTCCCAGTTTAATTTTACAATCACAGAAATTTCGTTTGTCTGTCGGTGAAAAAATTGGATGGAAGAAGATTGTGAGACACGCGTTGTAAAAGTGTATACTCGAGGAGAGTTTGATTCTCCGTGGAAACCTTTCACAAGAATCCCGTGTTTGGCAAACAAACTTGGCTACAACGTTTCATCCAGAACTTTGTTAAACACTTTTTCCAGGCGGGTATGTCTGTGAAATTCTGAATTCGATTCGCAAGGGATACGTTCTCCCAGGGGGGCTCCCGTGTACTTTCGGTATAGCTCGTGCGGACATGTAACTTTGTAGTTCGCAGCCATGGGAGGTCTATGGAGACGTGACCAAAAGCTGTCAACATTTCTTTACGCCGACGAGACAAACTCGATCACGGTTTAAACACGTCTCAGAAATTCCGGTTTCCCTTTTCTTCCGCGGGACAAAAAAGATCCTGCCGTGACGAGCTTCCTGCGGTCGTAACAAAACCCATCCAAGCCACTTACGACCATCGATGACGAAAAATTCGTAACAGTGCATATTCCCTTACTGACGTTTTTTTTTTCTTGGCTGTGATCTTCTATCTGGAAACTCTGCTGTTTCGTTGCTCGAGTGTAAAGAGCTGAATTTGGAGAATTAGGAAATTCACGAAAATCCAATATTCCAAAGTCAGAATTTTGGAAATTAGAGGATTTGTTAAAATCCAGTATTCGAGGGTCTAAATTTTGGAAATAGAAAAATTACGAAAGTCCAACATTCGAAGGCCTAAATTTTGGAAATAGAAAAATTACGAAAGTCCAACATTCGAAGGCCTAAATTTTGGAAATAGAAAAATTACGAAAGTCCAACATTCGAAGGCCTAAATTTTGGAAATAGAAAAATTACGAATGTCCAATATCCGAAGGCCTAAATTTTTGAAAACTAGAAAATTTGCAAGAGCCCAAAATACAAAGACCTATGTAATTTAGAATACGGGGAACTCTACGAAAATTTAACATTCGAAGTTCTGTTATCAGAAAATTTTAATACAATACGTTTCCTATATTTTATCCAAAAATTATCTGGAATCTTCGCGTATGTACGTCTCTATAAATAACCTATTATCGTCGCTATCTAGAGCTACGATCTATCGTACGCTTATTATCCTGACGCAAGAACACTGCTCTGAATCCACCCTCCGAACAATAGAGCAAATAGATTGTTAGGAAACAGTCGTCTAAACGGCACCTAATGGCTCGTCAGATAAGATAATGCAGTTCCACGGATCGACAGTGATTCCTCGAAAGATGGCTGCGATCTAAATAGAGGGGTGACGACCTACCGAATTGAGGGATCTCGATGTAATTTCAGAAGGGGGACAAAGCTTGTATATTAGGGGATGATTCTTGTATCGAAGGTATAAATTGGATATTAATATTTGATGAACTCCCTTTGGGATCGTAGAAGTGGAGGAAAATGATCGATCTTCCGATAGGTTTTGATTTTCATTCACGAATCTTTCTCGTTCGTTTTTTTTTCCTGTAAATCGATCAGGCAAAAACACAGGAATATTTCTGAAATAAAATACCAGAAAAGGGTTGAAAAGTGTAAAAATTATCCTCGTTACACCTTTTCAAAATGAATCAGACGACAATAGCGTTTCCGCTATAGGGTGTAAAGTTAGAAGAAGAAAAAAATCGGGTGAGGAAATCCAACGCGCTAATAGTTAGTCCTGTGACTATTTGACCGTTCGAAAAAGGCTAAACGCTTTACGACGATAGGTTTTCGGACAGATAATATAACGCTTAAATATTTTATAATTCCCCGACGAAACCCTCGCACCTCAACTACGGCTGATCAGTCTTTTTCTGAAATTTTTTCGATGATTTTTTTACGGGCCACCAACAAAACGACTCGTTTTATATTTATGACGGTAGATCAGCGTGGCGATTTTTTTCCTTCTTCCTTCCATCCTACACGGTGTTTTCAGCCTAGAGATTTTATGATTTTACGAGTGGCAGGTCACAGATTCGCAAACACTCCTTGCTTGCTAATGAGATTTTATAAGAAATTTCTTTCAAATAAACTTCATTGTTCACCAATTACTTAATTCGACAAAGTTATAACATTAAGAAACAGAATATTTTTCACGATATTCTATTCTGAGCGAAAATTATTCGCAAACAAATTTTCCCAAATTGTAAACCATCAAATTTGATTAAACTTCACCAGAGTTTACCAGCTTTCGAGTGAAATTCGAAAACACCAGATTTCGACAAATTCGAAATAAATCTCACCAAACCAAAATTAAACTATTTTACAATCGACTGCGAACAAAATCGTATTTACAGTCTTGCAAGGTCCTGGGTACAGTGTTTGCCTACTCGAGGACATGTTTGCGCACCCTCAGCGGTTCCCCGCAATGCATACAATTCGTCGATGTCGAATAAAGGGAAACGGGAGGAGTGTGGGTGGCAGTAGACTCATAGTTAAACCTCAATGGGTTGTTAAGCCGGTGGCGTTTATACGGAATTATCTCGTTTCCCTGTCAGAATCGTTCGAAGAGTAATTGCCTACCGCAGCCCCCCTGAAGAAGGCATTGCCTCGAAATCGACTCGATTCGTAATTTCGACTATTTATATCTACTTAACGGGTACCACGTGCTTTCGTGAATGGCCTATAGTAACCATCCTCGTCATGACACCCTGGATTTCTTATGGGTGTCGGTTCCACCCTCAATTCTATCCCATTTTCAATTTTCTTTACGCGGATTTTATATCGAGGCTATTATTCCTTCTTCTTTTTATTATTCTGCTAATTGGTTAGCCTTTGAATACTGGAAATTGTATAAGTTGTTTCACAGTGTAATGTTCGTTAATGTATTCGGCGATCCTTTGTTAGTGGATTTATAAAGAAATTATTTAGGATTAAGTTGAAAAGCTCAAAGAGAGGGGCAAAATTAAACGTTTCTTGTTAAATGGTTCATCCTGCGTATTCAAAAATTAATTCTGTTATAAATATAGATGGTTCCTGGTATAAGAAAGTAGTAGTTAGTTTATGCAATTGATCTTTATTTATAAAAAAATTTATTACGTTAGTAATCTATCCTAATTAATTAGCAGTTCGTTTATTACACTACTGGGATATTTTGCGAGTAAATCTGTGGAAATGAAGAAAAGGATCGATTCCATTACGGCTGCCGACAGGAAAGGAGAAATAAATAGAATGATTGATTCAGATCTCCTTGCAATAAAACTCTGATTGATGGATATCGTGTCTTAGGAGGAGGATTTATCTAGATCCTACATTAAGCCAAACTATGTTTAAGAAAATGGTGCTTTACTTGTCAAAATAAATAGCACATAAGAAGACCGAAGAAGAATGAACATCTCATGTAACCAAACTATTTTTTATCATTAATATAAATCATCATTTCCTACCTGTCTTATTATCACATTGTTATTGATAAATTTGTCAATACTTTTTTTTATATCTCTTCACATATTTTACTGCTAACATTACGAAATGAGCTATTCTCTGATATTGCTACATAGAAATAGGAAAATACTCGTGCAATTAAAGTGGTTACTAGCTATTTATTACGGGAATTTCAGCGAAATTCATATTAGTAATATAATGATTTAACGCCAGATTTACCGTTCATATATAATATTTATTTTCCCTCTCTCTCCCTTTCTTACTCTCTCCTTCTTTTATAATTGCATCTCTTTACGTAGACACGTAGGTACTTAAGCATAAATATCGACAGTCTAATTAAAACGTAGATGGCCGCGCGCCATCGAACGCGGATAATCGTCATATCTCTGGAAAAATCTCCACCTCGAGAAACGATCTACAAACTCTGTAGATAATGATAATAATAAATTACTTAAATGTTCGTTAACTGTACAGCTGTACCAACTACACATACGCCTAAAAAGTTTCTAGTCACACTCAAGCATTTTTTATCCCTTTACAGATTACAGACTTTCCGCTATACAAAGCTCGCACAGCGATTCAATTATCGTAATTAACAGGTACAAGATTCTTTACAATCAGTCGACGTGATATATACAACCGCGAAACCTAATCAGTCTCTCCATCCCATTTGGCAGTTCGACCGATTCTCCCTATAAAAACTACTATAATACAACGCACTTTGTACACCTCACTCCCATAAAACAATTCTTAGGAAAACTCTAATGTCATCTGAATAAAAAAAAAAACGAAAAAGAAGAAAAATTATATACACGTTCATACATACGTTCGATATGTACATCTACTTTAGCCCAATCCTCTACAATCGAACAGAAACCAGCTTCGCTAAGTTCCTTATCCTAAACCTATCTCTAACCCTTACGCTCTCTCAGAGATATCGTTCTTATACGGTTGGAACAATTTCGGCGGTTCCATTTTCGTCGATTGAACGACGCTCGGCGTCGACACGATACTATTGTACGAATTCTTCCCCTCGAATCCACCGATCGTTTGAATAGCAGTTGGTAGACCGGCGATACTAATCCCCGTAGGCAGTTTGATCTGCGTGGATGAATGATTTGTCGGCGGAGGGCTGTTCTTCTCGTGTATCTGCTGCCCGTTGCTCGCGTGGTGCGGATGATGTGGCTGCGTCCCGACGCAGTCGCAGTCGCTCGACGCGTCAGAGTGTACAGGACTCAGTTCTGGGAGCAAAGTTGGCCTGTAGGTGGTCGCCGCGCTAGTGGGTGGGTTGTTCACCTGAAAGGCGGTATTACCAACCGTAGGAACGCCCAGGCCAGGCAAGTGCAGGGGTGGCAGCGAAGGGTGAGGCTGAAGGAGATGAGGGTGCGCCGGATAGGCGGCGGCGGTGCGCGGATGTGGCCGATGGAGAGACGAGGCGCTCGTCGTTGGTACTGCTCCTGGATACGGCGTGTACCTGGCTGCATAGTACGCTGCCGCTGCAGCTGCTGGATAACTCGGTGCCAGGTGAGCCGGTGGCAAACCTGGAGCACCGTGATACGGCGGTGGCGGCAAAGTTGCCGTGGCTGCTGCCAGCAAAGTGGCGGCGAGTGTCGGGTCCGTGTACATGGCGTACGGCCAGGCCATCGCCATCCTCTGCCTCTTGTCCTTCATGCGACGGTTTTGAAACCAGACCTGGAGTTATGGAATAATTTTTCAGTTAAACGAGGAATTTTTTGTATACAGGGAATTGAAAGTAATTGTAAAACAGTTTGAACGATGGTTTGTGAGATTGTGTTGTCTATAGGGAATTGAAAGTCTCGTGAATATTGTAATTTTAGCGATAAGAGAAGAGGGAATTTCTTTTTTTAAATTTGAACGAAGGTTCGTAGGATTCCTTCTCGATACATTGGAGACTTTAAATGTTAAGAGGTGCGTAAGTATAAAGTTTGACCGGTGGCTAACGTTTCTACCATTTAACACCTCGATCATTTCCATCGGTAGAGGTTTTATAGCTATTGTGCCGGTGAAGGCAGCGCGAGATGAGAAATTAAGGGATCCATTAAAGTCAAAGGTAACCCCGGGAAAACCGCTAATTAAAGTGCTTAACACCTTGAACCGGATCGACCGGTCGTGGTCGAAAGAAATTAAGAAGTCACGGAAAAAGGATCAAGGGGATATCGTGGCAAACACCGAAAGACCAAGAGGTTTATGTTTGCCCTTCGTGATTGACTGTTTGCATGGTTGAGGAAGAGGGGACAAAAAAACGGGGGAAAAGAATCGACAGTGGATTGTGGGCGAGACTTTTCCTTCTCTCTCCTCTCTCTCTCTCTCTCTTCTCAGGCTATAATCGCCAATCAAACATGGCGGCCTGTGTAAAAACGTTGGACGTTCTCGTTCCATGGCGTGTGAGCAAAAACTTTTAATCGTCTCGATTAAGCGTTCGTCGTGTTGGGCCAGGAATTTTGCCACGAAATACCGAAGGAAATATTCTTTATCGTTTCATTACAGATACATTTCATTTTACGAAAGTAAATTTTTATTTATCGCAGATAAACGATTGTTAAGAAAGTTGCGTAAGATGGAATGGAAATTCTTCTCCTTGGCTGTCGATTACCGGCATTAATTAAACAGACCGAGGTGTTAATAGAACACTTTTCTACGCGCAGGTCGGAGGATGAGCTCATTGTTTACTGAACTTTATTGCGAGATATTTACTTATCCTCGATAAATATTCTGTCGTAATGGTTGTACGCTAGTGAGCGGATGAGATAGAATCGATTCTCTAATCGATCATACGAAACTCTACACACCTTGATCGTGGATTCTGGCAGGTGTAGTTGCGCGGCCAATTCGCATCTCCTAGGTCTGCTTACGTAATTCTCCCTGTGGAATTCCTTCTCCAATCGCGACAATTGTTCACGCGTGAAAGCTGTCCTGTATCTCCTGATATTTGGGTCCATGGAAGACAATGGTTGTTGCTGTTGTTGGGAAGGCGAAGTATCTGCGAATTAAACGGAACGGATCTATCAGTTAACGTGAAAGTCGACACGCGGTCGAAGACGAAATTCTCAGGACGTCTGTGCTTTGTGCGGATACCGGTCGTACACGCCACAATTTGTCTCGGTAAAAACGATCTTCCGAGCAAAAGGTAAAGAAAGCTTCTCATTCTTGTTCTCGTGATGCGGTTACACGCTGTAGCCGCCGGAAGCAGCGGGTGATCGCGTTCAGGATCATGTAGACGAGAGTCAAAGGGACAGTGAGGATCACTGGATCTCACCTGGAGTCCTTCCGAAAAGACCCAGGTCGCTCTCATAATGATAATTCTCTTCGGTTTACCGACACAACGTTGCATTCTAATCTGATTCTCGATAAATGACTAAAAAAAATTGGATTTTCTTTACGACACTATCATCGTTACGCTTCGTTTAAACCGAGGAATCGATAATATATCCGTGAAACTTCCCGTAATGTATATCCAATAACGGTTAATATTACAAAGTGTGAGCCTCGAGGATTAACCGTTTTAGAAACGGAGAAAAAACGTGAATACTTTAGATTTGAAAAGCGTCGCCAAGGAGAAGCCATTAATGTCTATACGAAGGTGGAACAAAAGCAAGGGGTACCGAAGTGAAATTTTCGCCCCAAGTATACAGGCAAGGAGAAACAATTTCGAGGCTGACAGCAATAAACTGATCTTCCTTGCTTTTCGAGAATCAGGGAGCAACCATAAAATAATTACCGCAATAAACCGCGAGGAGGCAGCTTTTCCACGAAGGGATTGGACGATTTCCGACAGTGTTGTTTATTTTCAAGACTGTTCTATAGATGCTGCGCCGTCGGGGCCTTGAAAACTACCCCTAATGTATATTGGCCCCGCTAACAACGAACAATCAATTGGATTAACCTTTCGGGTAATTAACGCTTTAAGTAATATTCAACTCGCTTAAATTGCCCGCTCATATTGAACTTGGCTGAAATTTTTATTAAGGGTGTCTCCTCGGGGATCTTATTTTTCCATGGTACCTCTTTATTCGCGGTAAATCGGTTAAAATATTTATTACTCCTGCTACAAGGGGGGTTAACGCATAACTGCTCGTAGAATAGTTCGAACACGAGGTGCAATTGAAGGTAACTTCAACGACTAACAATAGGAGAGACTTTCAAATGAAAAGCGTAAAATGGATCGAATTGAAAAGGCGTGCTCGTTTCGTTTATCGTTGGAAATTCACCTTTTTCTGGAGTCTTAGGCATATTTCCCGGCGGTGGACTGTGCGGAGGACTGAGCTGATATTGCGGCGGCACTAAGTCCACCACTATCGTCTCCTCGTCCCTTTGATCCCTCTGCTGATCCTCGAAATTCCTCTGATAGCCCTGCATTTTGTGTTTTTTCTTCGTTTTTTTTTTGCCACTTTCCAACTTGTTCTTCCCCCCCACCCTCCCCCTTTCACGTCGAAATATTCACTAATTCCAATTTATTGGAACGAAACACTTATCCACTGTTTATACTGGTTCTCGTACTGTTTCCACTACCGGAGTGTCTTGGTGCATAGAGATACGATCGCTTCTTTTTTACCGCGAACTATCTCTAAATATCTACGAACTAAGTTCTCCAGTATTCCGTACAACGGAACCTCCTCGGGTAATGCTAACGTGCGACTAAGAGGACCAACCAGCAAGCCAGCAATTTATACGACCTTGCCAATCTGTCGGGCAACCATCGTTCCGTCATGCCGCCTCATTGGTCGACACCTTGTGCATCGTTGTCTGATTGGTCGACGGGTGGCTTGGCACTGCCTATTTTCTCCCGTCTCGCTCCCCTATTCCCCACGGATCGCTCCGCGCGAAGTAGGGAGATGCATTTTTCCGAGATGCGCCAACAGCATCAGCTTATGCATGCGAGCTCGCGGAAATTATCTGTCGTTATTTCCTCGCGCAAATTCGGTCGAATTGGCCCTCGGTGAACTTCCACGCGCTGATGAACTTCAATTTTCCACCATCTTTCTCGAATGCAGTGAAACCTCGGTTGCTGTACAGTTACATGTACGTATTTACGTATACACTTGGAGATTTGTACATATCTACTTTTTTGTGAATATCGATCGAACACGATCCGATCTAGCGTTAATTATTTTCTGTTTTTCTTCGTTGCTTTTTTCAGCGGGAAATTCGAAGCACGCTTCGATCGACGAATTTTATTGCACGTTGTAAGCTTCTTTGGTTTCTCGACTGTTGAAATTAACTGTTGTGTATGTGTGTGGGGATAAGTAGCCTACAATAAAAGGGGGAAATTGCTTATTACTTAGGGATTAACTTGTTACATTGTTCGGTGATCTGTAATACTCGAGCGATCAGTCCCTTTTAAGTCGTGTATAATACAGTGGTATAATGTGACCGCAGTTGTTTGTTCTTGAACTTCGTAATGAGAAGGAAAAAAAGAATTGTGTACACAGTGCACGCTAACGTTTATCGGTATTTTTCTTTCTTTTTCAAACTGAACTATTCAAACGAAGCGAATCCTCGATTTCTTTCTTGGAAACTTTCAAGATGAAACGTTGCAAATGTTACGTTTAGAAATATGGGGAAAGGGTTAATTTAAGAGATCGTTTTATTTCAATATTTCACTACGAAAAAGTACGATTTCCCCTGTAAATTATAGTTATTCTCGGTGAACACAGATGTACAGGAAACGAAAGCTGTCCGAAAAAGCATCTAACGGCTGTGACCATTGTATCGAGAACACCCCAAGACGGGCAAATTTTTCTCCAAGAGACCGACGCGCAATAATGTCATAAAAAGCAAGGAACTCTGTTTCCTACCGCTATTACGGCGTTTTCTTCGAGCACGACTGTCCCCGTAAAAACTTTGCTCTATTTTAAACGACCCTACGACGATTGTAAAAATTGCATCGTTCCGCTCTTCTTTTATCTTTCCCTCTACCCTCACCTCGCTGCACCGAGAGGAACATGCAAATACACCGGTGGTTTCTTTCGCGAAAATAATAATAATACAACATTTTACAGTGTTCGTAGAAAATACAGCGTGTAACAAAAAGTTCCCAGACTAAGATAGCAAAATTTCTTTTAAATTAAGCGATCAGGTGATGTTACGTATTCGCTGAAAAGGGTTGACAATTTACGAAACGTTCCATGCTTTCATTTTTACTGTCTTCCTTCCATTTCGCCATAATAAATTACGAAACTCACTGTCTGGCAACTTTTGTTACATAAATATATTCTTCGTGATTTACTGTACACGTCGATTACATAACTATTAATCATGTATTACGACGCTTCTTTTTTACCACAGTTTCCGTGAATTTTGTAACCCATAGGAGGAGTGGTTTACGAATTGTTTGGACAGGTATTGTCGCCTGAAATTAGATTAAACTCTCCATTAGCCATTCTTCCGGCTTATTTTACCAATGATTCCGTCTTACTCGTTCCCAGACGAGAAACACCATGGCGGGTGCACACCGGACAATAAATCATCCACGAAAATTCCAGCGAATTCAGGTATAGAGTGGCAATTTCTACGGGAAACGGCGGGCACGCTCAAAATTGGATCAGAGATTGCTAATAATTTTTGCAGAACGCAGACCGTTCGACGTTTACGACGACACCGAAATTTCTACTCGGCGTTAATCTTTAATCGGTCTCTTTCAACGAGCAAACGAAACCCTGAAACGTTGTTCTGATTCGGTTTTAATTCACCGGCGTCCCCCTGCAGTCGACAAATCCCCCGTTATGCCGGTACAATCCCGATGAAGTTGAATATATTTTTGGGAATTAATATTCATCAGGAGTGGAGATAACGCGAACGTCATAATTCTGGCTTTCAATTCCTCGTTCGACCATTAGCACTGCTATTCCATGTTTACGAGGATAAACGTTACACCCACATATGTACACGTTTCTTTTTTAATTATACTATTACCCATTGTTAGAAATATTCTTATGAAACTGACTGAAAGACCGACGTTAGAAATAATTATTTAATTATTAGAAAATGTTGAACGACAACTTCATTCAGCGTAATACAATGTCTTTCTAAACCTATTCACTTCTTTGTACGCCCACTAAGTACTTGTATTAAAAGTTCTACAATGCCGTTTATGAAAGGTGTTTTAATTTCGACTTTGAAAAAATTAAAGCTTACAGTGTCCCGTGTATTGTTCAATTTCAATTAATTCCCCGCTGATTTGTTGTAACAGAAAAAGGGAGAGCTCGAACGAGCCTAGCTTAAGGATACCTGGTGGTGTAACGAGGTGTAAAACTTTATTTCGTGTAATATCGACGACCTCAGACCGAAACTAGAGCAACGGTACCATTCTCAGCCATAATTCATCCAATGGGACAGGGAACTTATCGGTTTTTATTAGGTACCCACCGATAGGCAAAACGGTATCGATCTTCTTTTTTCTTCAAAAAGCTCCCTTTTTTCCCCCTCAAAAACAGAGCATTATTTTCGTGAATCTTTTACGGCGGTACGGTAACAAGGCTTTCCGTTGAAATACAGCTAGCAGTTAAATCTGGAGCAGATTTTTTTCTCTTCTGTGTGTTCATTCGTGTACCGTCCCTCGACTAGCTCGAAAAGAAACGTTCGAACGAATTTAAAATGCAACGACGCCCGTTATACGACCCGTGGAGGCCAATAGAGAACGACGCTCAGAGAAATCGCAAAGCTGCCATTGAACAAGTTATTGCACCGCATATTTTACCAAATACTTTTACGTCAATCCTCTGTGAAACGATTCGTCCTACTTAATATTCTGATCGAACGCAATTTCTTCCAATTGAATTTCATTCGATGGAGACAATCGTTGAAATTACCGAAGATGAACGTTTCTAAGGTAAATTTAAGAAAATTTAAGTAAATTTAAGGAAAGACTCATTAGGGAATTTATTAAAATACAATAAGCTTAGAAATTTTTATCATTGCACGTTAAGTGATTTTAAAAGAGTAATGCAATTAACTACAATGATATTCGTTGGTCGTAAAGAACAGCGGCGTCGATTTGTAGGAGGAAAATGGTCGTTGCAAGTAAAGAAAAAGGTAGATAATGAAAAGAAACAGTTCCTCGAGATCTAAACAGCCACTAAAACGGTTAATCCGACGAATCATTTACCTACGGCATAAATTAGACGCTTCTTCCCCTTTGGAAAAAACTGTTCAAGGGGTTAATTCGTGAAACACCGGGTCGAACGCTAGCAACAAGGTGTAAAGAAATTTTTCGAACGATATAAAAATTGATTGTACCGTAAAATCTCAACCCTTTTGCAAGAACCCTTTGCACATTTTTTTCCCCCTCTAAATTCGTAATCCGCTTACCGAAGAACTGTTCAAATGTCTCCTGGTCTCGAAGGTTTCTTTATTACCGCGAAAAAACGGCGTAAACTTTCTTTCAAGGTACACATGCACCGTTCATTTTCCTACGAAAAAGGAAAAAAGTAGTAAAAGCGTTTAATTGAAATTAAGAATCAACGACTGGTATTATTCAGTGGAGAAACGATCACCTGATAAAACAGAAAATTGCGAGCTAGGGAACTGTGGAAAATGTGGCACTGATGGTTACAATATTTTTCGGGGAGCTTTTCATTTGCGCACAGGAATACACAGGAAAATGGGAAACAATCGGTGGTGGAAATTTGCGATGCCAGCAGTACGCATTTCAGAGGATTTTATTAGCCAGACAATCCATAAATGAGCCTCTTTTTTAAATGTCGCACTCATTCGAAATCGATGACAGAATACGCGTTTCAGGGAAAGATTAACAGGAAGTAAAGCGTGGAAAATCAAAATCTCCATTTTATCCAAAATATCGTCACTTTTTCCACCGTCGAACAATACCATCACTAAATATCAAATGAAAAAAGTGCACATTTTCAAAATTTATAAATTACAATTTTATCCCAATTTTAAGAATGCTAATTAACCAAATTTAATATTAAATTAAGATTGAAAAATGAACATCAAATTAATATATAATCTCTTTCTTCGACACGAGACGATTGTCAAAAACTTAAATTTACCTTTCACAGAAATGATATAACAATACAGATAGGATTCTTGAAATTTGGAAGCGACTGTAGGTTAGCAAATCCAAGGGAGATAATTGGCGCGAACAGCCGGTGCAGATGCGGTCACAATCATGCCCCTGATTAAACGGTTTGATTAAGCGCCTAATTTACCTGCGTGTGCGGTGTAACGTTGCTTTATGCGAAATCTATAAAGCCCTGGTCACCCCAACCCGTGTGAAAATTACACACATACAGACAGACATGACACGAGCATCGACCGTGTGATGAGCTCGTTTTACGTATTTTATGCTCTACCGAATAATGTTGACCAGCCTGTTCGACGATCTATCCTGATCACTG